TATCCTTCTTTTTTCCCTTGGCAGCTGTCGCTACTGCTTTTGCCGCCTTATACCCTAACATATTTGGAATTTGGCCTGAAGCAAGATTTTGATATAAATCAGTGTTGTCAAAAATAGAGATTAATAAGTGTACATAGAGCATACTTACGAGAAGAGGTAGGGGCCGAAGTCGGTGGCATAGATTGAAAAAAACCCGCCTGAAATAAGCTTGTGTCTGAAATCATAAATCTGTAGGATCTTTGCTTTTTAGGGAGAGCTCTAACGGCATCAGATTATCTTTGTGTGGCTGAGTTTAGGTTAGATTTCTTGTAATCTGCAGAACAATAAGTCACTTAAAAAGGGTGATCTTAATACAAAGACAAAAGAGGAAATTGAAGGTGATTTTCACTTACATAACGGGTGATAGAGAGTAGGAACTACATCCTTTCTATTCACCTCGGCAGGATGGAACTGCCACTTTCCCAGTACAAAGAAGAACTCTTATTTCCACCTTTTTATTGAGGAGGAAGTATCTAACACTAAAGGACCTCCCGTCCTAGGTCTAACACTAGCGTACCACCAGCCCGTATTTTTCCCATCCTCCTTAAATATAAAAAGAGAATTGGACTAAGCTATACTTAATTCAGGATGACCTAATTGATTCCACAAAATTAAGGTTGCCACTAAGTCCTCCACCCGTTAGGACAAAGTTGTGTAGGAGCTATTCCCCATGAAGAAAGAAATTTACGTATGATCCTAGGAAAAAGAAGTCTTAAACCAACATGGGGAATAATTGAATTCAAAGCTACACATCCGGTCGGTGAAGTGTTAGCTCAGTCAGATGAGGTTGGTATTACTAGTTCTACTGTATTAGGAATACTAAACTTAGCCCTTAAATTGGCAAGTATATCCCCTGTAACCACCGACCTATAAGAATCTGCCCCCCATTCCTGAGTGTTTTCCTTTTTACCCCTTGAGATTCCACCTATTTCCTTTCACGATTTTGGTCCATATTCCTAAAAGTATTTGATTGTTTTTGGTAAACTGAAGTGATAGGAATTGGTGTTAATACCTCCTGAAAATCTGAGTTAGCAGAAGAACAGCTAGCAGAAGGAGAAGACGAAGAAGGTACAGTTTTCTCCCGTTGGTTACCCCAGGAATGTACCCTCGATTTGTCCGAACTCATATAAACTACCGGGGTAGAAAACCAATAAAAAGGTATTTTTTTTGTTAAAAAGAATACCTGAATATGGATGACCTCACTTAGAAAACAGATAAGTATGCAATCTAAAGCAAAAAGTATGAAGAGATGAAAGTAAAAATGAGAAAATGAGAAGGTGAAATTTATTTAAAGAGAAGGAATATTAAGGAGCGTGATCTGGACCATAGGATGGATAAATTGAGGGAAAATGAATGGTTTGATTTAATTGTCTCGGGGCGACATCCGTTTTGATGAAACTTCCAAAAGAAGGAACCAAATATGCATGACATCTCATTGGCAAGAAACAACGTGACACCTGTTCATGTCATTTATTGCTATAATGATTACAGAAATTGAAAATTGTGCCAATCACTTTCAAGGTCAGCCCATCACCTAGGTAAGTACTGACCTGGGGGTAACTGTTGGCATCCGACCTCTGAGGTCGATAAGTACAGTTTGTTATATTCGATAAGCTTGTGCTAATATCAGGTCGGATATTTGAGGTTAGTTCGGATTGAGATATTTATTGAGGCTTGAAGGGAGATAATGATTATTGATTTCTGGAACATTGTACAAACAATCAATTAGTAAGTGGCATATGGATAATCTTACATCAACGCCCACCAAGTCTACAAATCATGCGCTTTAGCTTCCTTCCCTAAGTAATTCATTAATTGCTGAGGACCACCTGTAAGGTTAAACTCATGATGACTTGACAAGTCGAGCTCATTAACCAATCCAAACATGTTAGTAGTGTACCTTCTCAGTTTGGTATTGTAGCTGATAAGATGGGAAATGAAGGATACATGCAGATTTATCCATATAAAAAGAAGGAGGGGAAGAAAAGGAAACGACAACACTTCCACTAAAAAATCATTCCTACATTTCATATTTCAAATATCTCATTCAAAGAGAGAAGGAATAATTGTATTAAGATGGGTAACCTTTTGATCAACGATCAATCAAGTTATTACTTGCATCCTAAGTTGATTTGAATTTTGTTCATACAATTTCCAACGTCAACAAATAGTGTTTTTTTAGATTGTGTTGATAAATTGTAGGAAAACGTTTTGGGTTTATGTATAGAATATTTTATTGTATTAATATCTTATTGAAAATGAGTACGAGAAATAAAGAATTTTAGCCCATGTTTGATAATCATTATTTTGAGAAAATTAAGGGTCTGTTTGGGCCGAATTGAAATTTGATTTTAATCTAAAACAAAGTCAAACAATCAATATTAACCACATCTTTTCAACCACCTATTTCAAAAACTTCTATCACAATGTACAAAAAATATATTTTTAATCCCCACCAAACACGCTCTAAGTTTTAAATTATGATTTTTTTTGAGAACGTGTTGTTAAAATATAGGGAAACTAGTCTTTCCCCCATGCGATGCACAAATTTATATTAAGTGCTAAACAATTCTAATATGAGAAACATATGCTAATTGATTTTCCAATCCAATTAGATGCAAAACACTTCATAAAATTAACTTGCGAGTGAATGTATAATTTTAAATAAAAATATATA